TTGCATTCAGCCATAAACCTCTCTGTGGATGTTTATCGTGGCACATGACATATAATATTTGTAACTATTCATTCTCTATTTCTTTTAATGTCATGCTGCTGATCAGCTGGGGTTGCCAGTGGTGCCACTAGAGCCGCTTTAACACAACATTTTGCACTTCAGAATAATGCAGCAGATATATCGGCCAAGGTAGCATATGGGATATGTTCAAGAAAGAAAATATTTTAGTAATTTTGGGTGCTTTTTTTATTTTACCGAAATTGTAATTGATATATTGCATACATAATAGGAAGGAAGCCAAGAGACAGTCGCAACAATGATTGGGATGGCTCTGGGAATGCTTCTGGCTCGCGTTACAGCGGGTCACTCAGTGGCTATTTGGTTTTGTTTTCTCTCCCTCACAATATTTCATATGTATGGTTAGTCTCCCTTAATAGTCTTTTTACTCCCATATATTTGTCGAAGCTTAGTTAATTACATCCAGGTATAATATTTTTTTTTTTTTTTTTTTTTTTTTTTNNNNTTTTTCTGTGATGTTTCTTGTGATTTTGACAGCAAATTACAAGGCTGTCCGTTCTCTGTCTCTTGCTACATTAAATTCTGAAAGAAGTTCAATTCTTTTGTCACATTATATGGAGACTGGACATGGTAAGACAAACTCTAAAATTACTTCTTCTCGGTTTCAGCGAAATTAGTAGTAACGTAAAATTAGTATCTTGTATTATATCAGATAAGAAACTGTTTTGCGCACCCCACGCATCTCGCAAATTATGTTTTCTTCTATTTTATGATTTTCATACTTCTGTGTTTGTAGATCCATCCAAGTAGTTGAACCTTCATTGATGTGTTCATTTTTTTTAATTGCACATTGACATGAAAATTCCGTACGTGGTTTTAGTTCTTAGTCCGAAGCAGGTCTCAGTAATGGAGCATGTTTTGCCTCTGTGGATGACTTCGTGGACCGAAAATAATGTAGAGTATTCACACCATCGGGTACACTCAGGTGTCCGGATTTCTTCACTTAATAGTGATGAAATGTAAGTTATCCAACTTTGTCCGTGTCTTTTATAATCTAATTAATTAGTTATCCATCGGGTACCCCCAAGATTTATCCCAATAAAACAAAAGCTTTTGTTATCTTTTAAAATCACAATTAGTGACTTACATCACGATGAAGTTCATATTCACTAACAAATATATCCTATTTGAAAATGCAAATCTTATAGCGAAAACATATCAAGGGGGATTGTTTAGTTATAAAAAGTAGTAACATTTTTCTGTAATTAGATTCAAGCCCATATGGTAATGCAATAAACCTTTTCTAAGATTGCTTTGTCCTATTTAATTTATCGATTATCGTTATAGGATATTTTGTTTCTTTTTTCTGTCAACATTAAGCACAGAATACGACCCTCTTAGTGGCCGCTTTATGTAATTAGGCTTGATGTTGACGTCATTAACTGATAAGCAAACACTTGTTTTAA